TGTTTTCACAAATGACAAGATTTCATTCTTTCGGGATGAGTCAAATTCCATCCAGTCCATTCCAGTATTGCTGGACCATGTGATAGTAGTATTTTTAATTTTTCAAGGAGCCTTCATACTGTTTTCCATAATGGCTATACCAATTTACATTCCCACCAGTAGTGCATGAGAGTTCCCTTTTCTCCACCTCCTCACCAACACTTGTTATTTCTTTTCTTTTTGATAATAGCAGTTCTAACGGGTGTAAGCTGATCTCTCATTGTGGTTTTGATTTGCATTTCCCTGGTGATTAGTGATGTTGAGCACCTTTTTTAGGTTCCTGTTGGCTATGTGTATATCTTCTCTGGAAAAATGTCTATTCAGGTGTCTTGCTCATTTTCAATTGGGTTGCCTTTATTGCTACTGAGTTTATGAGTTCTTTATGTATTTTGGATATAACTCTTTATCAGATATATGATTTGCAAATATTTTCTCCCATTTGGTAGGTTGCCTTTTCATTTTGTTGATGGTTTCCTTTATTGTACAGAAGTTTTTTAGTTTGGGATCATCCCACTTGTTTATTTTTGCTTTTGTGTCCTTTGCTTTTGGTGTCAAATCCAAAAAATCTTCAAAACCAGGGTCAAGTTGCTTATTGCCATGTTTTCTTTCAGGGTTTTTATGGTTTTATGTCTTATGTTCAAGTCTTTGATCCATTTTGAGTTTATTTTTATGTGCAGTGTAAGATAATGGTCCAGTTTTTTTCTTTTGTGGCTGTCCAGTTTTTCCAACACCATTTATTGAAGAGACTGTTCCCCACTGGATAGTACTGGCTGCTTTGTCGTAAGTGAGCTGACCATATATGTGTGGGTTTATATTTACATTTTAAAGTAATACATTTACTCATGTAGAATTTAAAAATAAAAAAAAGGGTACATAATTTAATCATAACAAAGACTATAGAGGAAAAAATTTACTTTTCAATCAATGATCCAGGGACATTTAGTTACTGGTATGTAAAACTAAAGTAGGATTGTGATTTCTATCTCATCTTATACACAAAAAATAAACTGCATGTGGATTTAATATCTAAATATGAAAAGGAAACTTTAAAATTTTAGAATAAAATGGGAGACTATATTTATGATCTTGGGGTAAGGATGAGCTTTTATTTTCCAACTTTATTGAGATATAATTGACATACATCATTGTGCAAGTTTAAGGTGTCCAGTGTATTGATTTGATACACAGATATATTGCAAAATGATTACTACCATAGCGTTAACACCTCCAGCAGGGAAGAACTTCTTAAAGATCAGAGGAAAAGCACAAACTCTAGTAGAAATGATTTATACATTTGGTCCAGTATAATTACAATTTATATTAAAAAACTGTAATGAAAGTAAATATACAGGCTAAGACTAGAAGTAATTTGAAGCATGAATAAATAACAAAAGATTAGAAACCAAAATACCTAAAAAGCTTAGATACCAATTTAGGTAAAAAAAATGCAAGTCATTAGGAAAATATGCAAAAGCTTATATTAACAACTCAGAGATAAAAATGATCAATAAATGATAAAAACAGACCCAGCCTCCTCTGTCATTATGGTAATGGAAATTAAATTTTTTCATATCCATCAGATTGACAGAAATATAAGCAAGTAAATATTATTTAAATTGACATATATGTACAGAATAGTTCATGAAATATGAATGTACAACTTGAACATTATTGTAAAAGTAACCTGTATAACCATCACCCAGCTCCAGATACCCCCATATACCTCTCACAGATCACAGTACCCTTGCTCTCCACTGGTTGTAACTATTACCTTAAGTTTTGGCAGTGGTGTGCTGATTTTGTGGTAGGGGATGGAGTGCAGAATAACCCTTACTTATGCAGCATTTGCTGATTTCCATGGAATAAGTACTCATCATGGCAGATTTCAATCAACCAGCAAGTCAACTGACTCACCATATTCTTTAAAATTTAACAGCAGCTCTTGTGAGAATGTGCAAATCTACTCTAGCACTCATCTGCCACTTCCTAACTTCTCTGCTTTTTCTTCTTTTTCTTCCTTTTTTAAAAAAAGTTTTATTACCTAAATAAGCATCCTCAAATAGTTTGTATTAGCTGCTTCTCACAACATCAGTATTATTATATTACTTAATTAAATTGTTTTTGAAGGCTTCCTGTATTCTGGAAGAGTTTAAATAACATTGAGATTATCCTCTTTTTAAAGGTTTAGTGAACTCCTCTGAGACACCACCTGGGTTTACTGATTATTTGGACTAGCTTTCTCTTTAACAGCTTTATTTCTTCCATGGAAATCAGACTCTGTAGATTTTTCAAAATCTCCTCTCTGGTCAGCACTGGTAAATTATATTTTCCTAGAAAGTTACATCCTCCAGGTTCTCAAATTTATTTATATGTATTGAAAATAGTTTTATGATACTTTTAATTTTCTATTTTCTAGGTTATTTCACTGTTGCCTTTTTTTTACTTTTAAATATTTGTTTTCTCCTATTTTTTCTTGATAGTAATCTAGGTATATTTTTTTACATCAGTTTTGTCTTCTTTATTTTTTTTGAGCCTATTCTAGATTTATTTCCAGTGTTTCATTATTCTCTAAATCATTAATCTGTTCTCGTAATTTTATTAATTTTTTCCTACTTCTTTCTAAATTCCTGAGTCAGATCATTATTTCCATCATTTCTGGTACATTCATGTTTGTAATGAAGGCCATTTGTTTTCCTCTGAGATCACTACTTTAGAATTCTTATAAGAATGAAACATATATAGTAAAAAGAGTAAAGAGTACTAAATTGTGATTCAGGACACAGAGGTCCCAAATGTAGTTCTCTTTTTCTGTATCAGTCTATCTGCCAGTATCATCTTGGGCATGTCAGTTAGCCTTCCTCCTTCAGTTTCTGTTTCCTCAACTAGAAAATAAGGAAATATTTGATGATCTCAGAACTTCTATTTTGCTGTTTCATTTAATGAAATACGTTCCTATCACCAGCTTGCCACTTCAGGAATTTGAACTGAGTCTACAAAATGAACTCTAGTCTCAAACTTCTTAAGTAACAATAAACTAGTTTGTGTAAGTACTGTAGTCTCCTGTGTAATCACAAAATCTGTTCTAATCATTCTTTGGCTGCAAGATGGGAGTCTGCGACTTAGCCAAATCACTCTGTAGGTGTTCCTTACTAACTTAGCATATTTTGTAATAATCAATCAACTGTTGAAAGTTATATAAAATTGATGAGGAATTGTTTTCCCAAATCCTTTGAAATTCTTGAAATAAACACATACGAATGTCAGTAATAAAAAAAGTAAGCAGCATGCACCTCTTTTTGAATGGGTTAAGATGAGGAAAAAGTAACAGATATTATGTCAGAGTAAAATTGTAAAAAATATTCTAAGGCCTGGATGTTACAGAAAAATGTGTAATAATGACAACAGTATTAAACATTGACAGATTCTGCATCTTAAGAAATATATAGCAAAAACAAGGAAAAATTTATTTAGAGATAGCAAAAAAATTTTTAGAAAATGGGAGCCAGGTTGTCACAGAATCTTATCCATATTACATAATATTTGCATGTAAAATCCCTGTCATATTTAAAAATCTAAGCAGTAATTTAAAAAAAAAATCTATGTCCTTTGTGGAAGAATTGATGTTACCATAGCAAAATGAAATATCTTAAGTTTTGAATTTACCTGTGTGTGTGTGTGTGTGTGTGTGTGTGTGTGTGTGTGTGTGTGTGTGTGTTTAAGCATTGACATGAACACAATATATTTTTGGTTTTGCTATGAATGTAAAAAATGCCAGAAGGGAAATTGGGAGGGAGACTGAACAAAATGCCCTTCATTTACATTTATTTTCTAAGCCATTTGAAGTCTCCCATTTTATAAAATGTTATTATATAACAATGGCAGTCATTGCCCACTTTATAGATCTTTACATGTCTAAATAAATCACTTCTGAGTAGTTTTTCTCCACATCTCACCACATCTCTAAGAATTTAATTTTGCAGCCTTAAAAAATGCATTGATTTTTAGATGCACATATGGAGAGCAGAATATGTAATAATGCTAAAAAAAAGAATAAATTTATTGTTTTATTTACCTCTCAAGAAAAGAAAAAGTAAAGTTACATGCTACATTTTGTTTAAGGATTTATGATGCAGCATAGTTTCCTTTTATAATACATATTTAAAATCATGTAATATTAAACAGTCCACCAAATTGAAAACCTTACATGAAAATATGGGACAATGGTTTGGAAGCATAAAGATATCTGCTGTCACACAATGTTTCGTGTGTTCCTTCATAAATCAGTACCAGAAACATATACAAGCCAATGAGAGTGAGAGCTCAAAAGATTTCTGAAATTCTGGCTGAATGGTTCCCAGTTATGTATGAGAGACCATTGCTTTCAAAATGTCAAAGTAGACTTACAAATATAATTAATACAACATAGTGCTGGGCATGGTATGAAAGACAGTGCATGTGCATTTATTTTGGTTAAACTCTGATTTAAATGTAGAATTTACACTATGACCTTTATCAAGATTAGATGAGTTAATAATTTTTAGTTAGTTTTTCTCTCTAAAATGGGAATAATGATGCTTACTTGCTAGGGTTGTAATAAACACAAATGCGGTAGTATATATAATAGCACAGGCACATTTAAGTATTTAAATATTAAATTCCTATTGCCCTTGTAGTGATCATCTTTTTTTAATGAACCACTGTTTAAAAATAAAGAAGTTAATGTAAAGAATAAAATATGAGCATGCACATCAAAATAGGGAAAAATATTCCTTAAAAGTGAATGGAAGTAGAGTGCACTATTAACATGGAAATTGAAGTGAATCCGGAAATTTTTCAAAATTCCTCTAAGGTGGCCAGAATAAAATCAAATATAAAAGCAAAGTCCTGGACAAACAATATGGTAGGTTTGTTTATTTCTTCCCAAAAGTGAATTTCTAATTATGTTATATATGTTGTTTCAGAGGCAAAGGCCCATTGAAAAATACATCTGATGTTATTAATGCTGCCAAGAAAATTGCTGAAGCAGGTTCTCGAATGGACAAATTAGCCCGCGCTGTAGCCGATCAGGTAATGTTAGAGGGAAGAGCAAGCACATGCTGCTTGGTATCATTAATTAGTTCTTGGGTTCTGTAATGGGTTTTATGTACCCTATAAAATGCTTCTGAAGGATGAATTGTAATCACTAACATTTTACAAACAGGCCTGTAACTCTGCCGAGACTGAGCTGATGGCAAAGGTAGGGTCAGTTCAGGAGGGACTCATTAAAGCCCATGACCAAAACTTCTTGAGAAAGAAGAGTACGTGCTACTTAAGAGACATAACTCCCAAAGCTTGGATTATGCTGGCTGCCCTCATTCAGCAAGTCAAGTACACTACATAGGGAGGAAGAGAAAGAAGAACTTTAACTTTTGTTATTTCATGTTGATCTTTCTGTATTGATGCTCTTTATAATTCATAATAATTAATGCACTAGCATAAATGGGATTAATCCACATAATCAGGAACCTCCAGATCTCATTTTCATCCGGATTTGAAGGTATCACAGATCAATGAAATTCACAGAGTATCTTTTCAGACTGAAATCGGATACACGTTAAAGTAGTTCTCAATCTCACCTTGAATGTTTGAGTTTATCTCCACACTTTTCATGTTATGTGGCTTAAATTGGAACTCTAAAATCCTGTTCTAAATATGTCTCATTGCAATAATGTCCCATTCCTTATAAGGGTACTTCAGGCAGTAGACTTTTACAGGTAACTAATTCTTATTCTTATTACGAGCATGAATTTGCTTACTAGACTGCAATGCAGTGATGCTCTCTGGAGACACTGAGACAGGATTTTTCCTTCTCCATAGATGGCCCTAATCTCCTATGATTTTTGAGTTGCTTCTCATCATTTTCTTCCTTCATTCCTTAATATTTGGCTGTTGCCATAAATACATGCTGTCTTCAACCTCCCAGATTCTAAAGTCCTTTGGGTCAATACCAAATTCACTCATCTTCTAAACACTGAAAAGAAAAACACATGATTGAACTATTAAGTCTACATTTAAAATAAGCCAACAGGTTGTCTCATTTTAATTTTATTAATTTTGAGAAACACTTAATAGTAAAGATTATTCATTAATTAGTTCTTGGCTGAATGGTTCCCAGTTATGTATGAGAGACCATTGCTTTCAAAATGTCAAAGTAGACTTACAAATATAATTAATACAACATAGTGCTGGGCATGGTATGAAAGTCAAATGATTACCATCATTTGACTATCCCCTAAAATTTCTGTGGGTTGAAGACCAAACCATTACTGAGTTGCTAATTTCAGGGCACTATCAACTGCCAGGCTTCCTGCAGTTTGCAGCATACATCGAACTGCTTTATACAGAGTTCCATATGTATCTCAGAAAGTTCATGGAGACAATGAATATACTTGGGAATATGCATGCATGTATGCAAACAAACAAAAATACACCAGCCAGGAAAAAATACCACATTTTTTTCCTTGCAAATGTTGAGGGTACTTGGGATGAGAAGAGTGAGAAGGGATTGGTGGTGGTCCTGAAAAGAGTTTTCTGAGGAAGGACTTCTTCCCAGAAGGGAAGGTGGATGGAATTTGGATGTTTTTTCCATTAAACTCTGAATCTTAGTCACTGAAACTGTTTCTTAGTATGTTTAGGCTCCTTGAGTTCAATATTTTTTATTGTGATTTTTGTTTTTGCCTTTGCATTTTTAGACCCTTATTTCCAACCATTATGCAACTTGAATCCTAGCCAAAAACAGTTTTGCTATCTGGAAAGCATACCACACATGCACACAAACAAATCCCAGGATTCTAGATGTATTTTGAAATTAAATGACAAAGTATTTAAATGCTATTCTATGATGACTTTTAAAATAATCAGATGAGGGTTAAATATAACCCTCTCTTTGTGGCATTCTGTCATCAGCTGTGAAACAACTTGCAATTTTGGCTAATGTTTTGTCTGAATAGGACGCTTCTTTCTCAAAATCTGCACCTATTTCCATGATACAAGAATTATTTTTCTTGGTCCATCATGCTTTTATGTATGTTTTAAATAATAGAATAGAATGAGCATTAACAAGGGGTTGATTTGTTGCCTTTATTTTGCCTGAAAATATTTTTATGAAGATTTGAGATACACAAGCAATATAAACTTTTTACGGACTGTTGCATTTTTAATTACTGTTCCATTGAGATAGAACTTCCAGTTTAATTTGCTGCAAGGTATTTGTATCAAAAGCCTTGTCAGCCCTCTAGGGAGATATCATTTTAAAGTTAATTCCTTTCAGTATATAGGTCTCGGGAGTAGGATAAATATTACAGTATTAAGTACTTGTAGAAAGCTAAAAACAGTCTCTGTGGGATTCTTTCTTGATAAATGCAGTTAGTGAAAAAAGTACTATAATGGTGTTATATATAAAAGAGACCCCTATGTCATTTATTAAAGAAATGGTTATGTCACAACTGCTGGCTTCACATTATTAATGAAAAACCGCCTGCCTTTCTTTTCTTTTTTCTTTTCTTTCTTTCTCTTCCTTCCTTTCCTTTTCTTTTTTTTTCTTTTCTTTCTCTCTCCTTCCCTTCCTTCCTCCCTCTCTCTCTGTCCCTCCCCCTCTCTCTCCTTCCCTCTATTCCTTTCCTTTCCTTTCCTTTCCTTTCCATTTTTCTTTTTTCTTTTCTTTTTTCTTTTCTTTTCTTTTCTTCTCTCTCTCTCTTTCTTTTCAGAATTGCCTTTCTTCAGCTTGAAGAAAACCTAGCTGGAGTCTTTTTTTCATACTCTTATTCTAAATAAGTTACTTCAGTTTGGGGTCTAGGTACTTATTTCTTGCAGTGTTTCATCAAGGATCTGGTGAGTGTATGTCCTTTACAAGTGCCAAATTGAGCCAGAACAATGGGATAGCCTGCAGAATTTTGAAATGAACTTCGGCTAGCAATAGAAATATATTTCAGTGACTGAATAGCCATTGGTATTGAAGCCTCAGAAATGCTTTAGGGAGTCATATAAATGTCTGTGGAGGTGTTCAGCTAAGTTCAGTTGTATCTGATGGGCATCTACCCACTAAGTAACGAAGAGAACTCAAAATCCTGGTCCTAGTTGACTCTAGAACAACCTTTGAAGAGTTCTGTTTTTACTCTTAGGAGTTTGTTTCAATTGGCTTCACACTCATTCTACTTAAATCTGTTGCTCTAACAGTGGTCATGATCCTTCTCAGAGTCTCTTATTTAAAAAAGTTTATAATGTTGGGCGCCTGGGTGGCTCAGTAATTAAGCGTCTGCCTTCGGCTCAGGTCATGATCCCAGGGTCCTGGGATCGAGTCTCACATTGGGCTCCCTGCTCCGCGGGAAGTCTGCTTCTCCCTCTCCCACTCCCCCTGCTTGTGTTCCCTCTCTCGCTGTGTCTCTCTCTGTCAAATAAATAAATAAAATCTTTAAAAAAAAGTTTATAATGTTAAAATTTTGATAAATATAAAAATCCAAAAAGTGTAATAGGCTTCCTTTAGTGAATGACACTTCTGAGAAAGCCAAAGGAAACAAGTGATTTCTCCCCCCAACTAACTGAATTGAAATTCTATCCTATGCTGTGTCCCAGAGATTGCTACCCGGAGCGATTTCCTTCTAGCTTCTGTTGCCTTTGTTGTCCATATTAAAATAACTACACAGGGTGAATGTTGGATGGGCCACTAGGAAAAAAACTGAATATTTAGTTTTCTTAACAGTTCAGAAGACAACTAGTAAAATACTCATAAATGTATACAGAAGTTCCAGTAAAACTTTCTGGAAGATCTTCAATATTCTTTTTATAGAATTGTATCAAAGTAGAGCTGACCATTCTAAACTACTGGCTGTGGCCTTCCTAAAATGTGCTGTAAAGTGAAGTTAAATGGATGTAATTAAGGTATATGACACTAAAACCTTTTCTTCTCACAGCTTTTGTAAAGTAAGTATTAGAAACTGAAGAGTACTTACTAATTGAGATCACTTTGTTTAATGTTTTATAGTGTCCTGATTCAGCATGTAAGCAGGATTTATTAGCCTACCTTCAACGAATTGCCTTGTATTGCCATCAGCTTAATATCTGCAGCAAGGTGAAGGCAGAAGTACAGAATCTGGGAGGAGAGCTCATTGTGTCAGGGGTAAGCCGGGATTTGGGCTTCACAATTAAAGTTCCCACTTTTGTACTTCCAAGGCAAGCATTCTTGGCAACAGTACTGCTAAAAACATCAAACTACAGTGATTCATAGGGAGTTTTTTTAAAATAAATGTTATCACCATTATTCCAGACCTTACAATAACTCACAAAGAGCAATTTGATTTTCCAATTACCCTGTGTTTATACTAGCCTTGTAAAATCTCCATTCTTCACAAGAAAACTAATTTCATAGTCTGGAAACTCATTGCCAAGCTGTGACTATTATAATTATTTGGAGCTTTTGTACATTTACTCATTGTGAGTCTACTTCCCTTTGTTAGTCCTAGTAATTTTCACTCTCGTTCAGGAGCCAGCCTCTCTATGTGTGGATTGTGTTCACATGTTAGAGATGATGAAAACAATAGGAATTCATTCATCAGGTTCCAATGCATACTAGGTTATCAGTAACCCTTGAAAGCCCAAATTTAATACAGGTTGATGTGCTGTTGCCAAAACTAACATAGTTGTCAAACACTAACAATTATGTATTCTTTGCTTAATCATTCCAGTATTTCCCTTAGTATCTGGTCCACTTTCATCAAATGTAAAGAAATAAGTTCAATTAATAGAAGCATTATGATTTCTTGGCAAGATTTCTAAATGTATGTGTTGAGGTTCTTCACCTTGGCTTCTCCTCCCTCAGTCCCTTTCTTTGAACATGAGGTGCCATCTATTGTTAACTATTTGCAAATTCCAAAGTGTGGCTCTGCCACCTTTAGTTCTTTTCCCAGTCAACCACGATGCTGCCATTTTAAGTGTGGCATTACCGGGAACATAACATGATCAACATGGTGAATGCCTTATGAGAATCAGACTAGTCATGAAGCTCAATTCTTTACTGAGACATTTTCAGAAATTCAGCAGTTTGACCATTTAATAAAAATATGTGGAAAAATCATTCTTGAACTCAAAGGTTTCAGGTTCTATATTGTTTGGCTTGCAGAAAACAGCTGGGAAAAGAGCTGATCTGGCTTGCATGGAGATGCCATCTGGAAAGCCTGTTCCATGCAGTCTCACCTAGAGTCCAATAAATTGGCTATTTTGTGCCTCTTCCCAAAGCATAGTCACCTCTTTGCATTTCCAAAATGATCCTGCTTCAACATTCTTCAACAACCAAGAGCAATCTGTCTTGCAATGTGTCCTTTCTGCTGAGTTGGTAATTACCAAGATTCTCTCTGCCAAGAAGTGATCAAAACATTGCATATCCCTTGCTTCCTTTCTTATCTTCAGACTCGATGGTATAGTCTCCCATACCATTTGGCTTTCATGTCCATCTGTATATAGCACCTGTGGAACTGAGTGCTTTTTGTTTAGCTTGCCTTGTGTGCTTTCATTTGTCACTTTCCAAATCTTATTATTTACATGGATGCGCAAAGCATCTTTGTGGATCTCAGACTCCACAACCTCATCTGGGCGGTATTTGACTGGCAGAGTTGCTCTCCATTATCCTCTCAGTACCCATTGTTCATCACTGCTTCCAGAGCCTCATTTCCATTGTCTTTTCCTCATTTAGATGTAGTCCAAACCATCACTGGCTTTTATCACTTGCACTGTTGGCATTTGTAGAGGTGTTTAAGATTGAGAACACCATCAAGAAGCCTGTTTCCTTCTTTGAGTCTTACTGGCAAAGTTCAAAACTCCTTGCATGGGAGAAGGCTTCTTTTAGTGGAATGTTATATGACTTTATAATAATTCTGAGTCAAATGCATTATAAAGGTTTGCTATATATTGCTTAGTTATGGACCTGCTCTTGGCCTCCTCATTTTTTCCAAGCTTGATTGCTATTTGGTGCCATACCTGCATCTGTAGTCTGCTGTCTTTGCCACTTCTGCCTCCATCTTATTCTTCATCCTCCTTCACTGATGGCCAATGGAGAAAAAAAATCAATGTTTATTTTGCAAAATAACCACAAATGACTGCCTTCAAGGTTCTGAAAGAGTCAAGAATGTAAGACCCCATACACACAGACTTTTCAATGATTTTGCCAAGAAAATGTGCCCATGCTTTGGGCCCCATTTATTTTATTGTCTGGCATGACAAAGTTGCTACATTTTTAAGGAAAAACTACTAGAATATAACATGCAATCAAAAAAAGAAATGTTTGAATCTTCCTTCCTTTTTCCTTATGTGTTTATGTACATGGGGTTCAAGGTTGTGGCTTCTTCTCTGAAATATATGAAAGCCCCCAAGAAGGTATATGTGTTAGTAGTCAAAATTTCCCCTAAAATAAGTGATTTGGATAGGTTATTCCCATTTTGCCAAGAAAAATTACTTGAATTTCAGTGCTGAGAACTGCATTTTTAGAGCCTTGTGCTAGCATGATGAACAAAATGCACATGTGCACAGTTATGTACCATGTCAGCATGTATATGTTTTATGTGATTCTGTGTGTACAAACTGGGAAAGGCTTCTGTTGTATCTGCGTTTGGCTTGAGTGGTTGTGGCAGGAAACTCAATAGGTCATGGGCAGAGGGACAATGGGTACAAAAGCTCTTGAATCATGATGGCAAGCTAGAGAGATAATTCAGTCCCGGATATATGCCTACATGTGCTCATTCACACAACTGCTGTCTAAGAAGCACCATTAATTTCCCGGCTAGAGATCTGTTTTTAAAGTTACTGGCTTACGTCTTCCTCACCAGCCAAAAAAGTACTGTTCTTACTAAATCTCAAAGTAGAAGATGTGTCTGTGAGCCAATTCAGCTTAAGCCATTTGTATGATTGCTAAGGGGGTCAATGGGGAAGAGAAAATTAAAAAACAAAAACTAAAACTAACAGTGCTAGAAATGCTAATGAGAAAATAAAGGAAACCAAAGTCCAGAATACTAAACATCCATTCATTTATAAACTGGCTTTCTTTGCTTAGTGTTTATTTAATCTCTTAAGTCAGCTTACATGCTTTTTGGAAAAAGAAATGTTCAAAGAAGAAAAGAAAAAAGAAAGGGAGGAGAGAGAGTAGGAGGGAAGAGACATGAAAGAAGGAAGAAAATAAAGGAAAGAGAAACTTAACCATAGCATATTGTAAATTATTGTAGTGCAGCTAATAGCCATTAAACATGACAGCATTATATTCATCATGGCAGAAAAGTTGAGCCAATTTTTTTTCAAGTATGTAAACATATTTTGAAATACAAGTTCGTTCCAATGCTGTGAAGTGGATATTACTTCTATATTTGATTGTTGTGTTTTTAATTTTTTTCACTAGGTTTCAGAGGATTTAATGGATTCTTTTAAATTTTAAAATGAAGATTTACATATGGATCTGGAGAAATAAAAACCATTCCATAACCTTTGATTAGCTACCCTAAAATTTATACTTTTGAATTTTTCTGAATGAGACTGGAAATGCTAATGTGGAATTTTAGAATGGAGAATGCTAAGCATCAAGCATTCTGATAAATCTGAAAAATTCCACCTAAATTTTTTTGAAGTTCAAATACATCATTAAAACAATGAAGCCAGAACGCAAGAGCAGTTAACCCTACATTGGACAGGAATTCAGTGTTTAGGTTAGAGGCGGAAGGACACAGATTCTAAGTAATAGTTGACTCCACATGAAAATGCTACAAATTTTAATAGATTTTATTGCATATAAATGACTTTTTCTCATACTTAACAAAATATAGGAGCAGAGTTTGGAGGCGAGTAATGTTAGTTTCCTACATCCTCAGCCTGATGGAATGGAGCCCTACCCTATTCCTGAGGATTGAGTAACTAAAAGGTCTAATGTGCACTTTTGTTCTTTGCCATTTAAATCTCTCCTTTCCAAATTTGACCCTCTCAATTGGGTTATGGAGAGAAGCTTGACAAGGTGAGCAAATATAATTTGTGATACTGGTAGGATTTGGATTGGTAAAGAGAAAATTGGAGAATAAGCAGTCAGTTATAGTCTCTATTGCCTATGTTTCACATCATTAAAAACAATTGGACTCAATTAAAATCAACATGAATATTCATGGTAATAAATGAAAACCATTCATACAATACTAGAAACTGATAATGGTCAAATCAGTCCTACCTGACTGTGATATGTATAAAGATACATATGTGCATATGCATATGCACAAACATACATATGCAACAAATACACATGATTTGATATTTACTCCCTTACCCCCTGAATAAGCAGTAATCAGGAACTGAACTAGTGGTTGATAACTGACATATCTGATCCAAGACAGTTTAGGGAAAAGAAAACGTTGGGAATTATTTGTACAATGCTATATATATTATATGTTTTAAAATATATATTATAGATTACATTTTTATATATTTGTATTCCATATTTAAAAAACATATTTTAAAAACGTGACTTGTTGAGATAAGAATTGCATTTAATTTGAAAAATTCTGTATTTCATCTATAAAAAATAGATTTTGTAATGGGTGGAAGCAGTCATTGAAACAAGCATTGTACTTAGTTGTGTAGCCTTATTCTTTTGTACAACTTGTACCCTTATTTGGGGAGTCTTTTTTTTTTATATGTTCTGAGTCTGTCTATTGTCAATTCTTGATTATCTCTGCTGATCGGAGTGTAGTAGTAATGGAAACAAATCTAAATTGCTAGCTATTTCAATTTGGGCTCTGGGATGCATTTCTATGCTTCATTTAAAAAAAAAAAAAGATATGTATTCAGAAAATTAACAGCAGTTCCAAATAATTTTCTCCAGATTTTCAGAGGGAAGGCCGTTAAGTGTTTGGGTTTACAGACTTTTCCTGAACTATGGAACAGTAGGAGAGTCCAGATCTAGAGAGAGTAAGACTAAAACAAACTTCAGATTATAAATCTGGATGGAAGGATGGTGGAAATACTCTGTAGCAGTAAGAAAATTAAACAAATATTTATCATTGGCAGAATGGTCATAGTTCTTTGCATATACTTTACTAGTAAGATGGTTTGCAGCATAATTCAGTCTTTCTCCAAAAAGCCTAACCCTCCCAATCT